TGCATCAAGCCTACCTACCTTAGGTACGTAGACGATTGCTTAATGCAGCAATTAAACGCATTGAAACCAGAGCATATTACTGAGCTCTTGAGGCGAAGTTCCATTATCATATATTTGCCTTCCTTCTTTATCATTTTATTCCTTGCGCCGAATTCGAACGGCGAACGCGAAAAATTGCGCGAAAAATATGGGGCGCAAGTGGGATCAAACCCGGATCTATAGATCACGAATCAATCGCACTGAGCGGCGAGCCACTCGGCATCCCAATAAACCCGAATCCTCATACGGGCAACAGCGCTTTGACACAGAGCTCTGATTGGTGAAAAGCCGGTTGTGGGGGTAAAATTTACCCCCATCACCCGTTTTTCACCAATCAACGTTCGGTGTCAAAGCGCTGTTTCCTGTATGAGGATCCGGGCTAAGCCATCATCTTCCTGAAACATTTAAATTATACGATATATGTAATTAAACGTATACAGTGAGAGCAAAAGTATCCGTACAAAGAAATTTGTTAAAAAAAAAGCCTTACTTGTAGAAAATAAATATTAATTAGCAATTTTATACAATGAATATCTGTTCTAATATAAACAACTGAGCTTCGCATGCATTCCTGATTTTAGAAGTTAAATTTCTCGTCTGTACGAATACTTTTTGAGCATTCAAACAATGCAATTTTTAATTTTCGCTTATTTTTTTGATGATATATTTTGTATAATTAATACACATCATTTTGGTATATAGAATATTAAGAAACATACAGTCTATTTCATTCTTTATGAATAAATTGTCAATTACCTAACAAGTCAATTAAACGTCGAATCGACGTCGAATTGGTATTGAAATCATCGTATCGGTATCGATTCGACATCAGTTTGATGATTCATTTCTCGCTGAATAATATTTACTTTTTACAAATAAAGTTGTTTTAAAAATATTTTCTTTATACGAATACTTTTTGCACTCACTGTATGTAATAACAAATTATATTATTCTATTGCTTATTCATTATAAACCTTTTTAGTAATAGACTTAATACAAGACGACGTACTAAAAAATAATTAGGCATATGGCCTAATTATTTTTTAATATACGTCATCTTGTATTAAGTCTATTACTAAAAAGGTTTACAATAAAAAAACATACACAAATGCAAAAACATAAGCGAGCCTTTGCTCCCCGAAGAGGCTCTAAAGCTAAATTATATTTAGCATGATACTGTGATCCCTCAAAAATGAGGTCGGAAAACCAAACCCGAGGAATATACTAAGAAGTTATAAGAAGAGGATGATGGCTTTGTAACTTCTGTTAGATATAATTATAACGGGACAGAAATTTTCGCTTCCTGTAATAACCATGATTTAGTCCTGTTTAATAGATCAACAATGTCGTCATCGGATGTTACAACCATGTGTATCAGAATTCTAAGATTAAACAATTATCGTGTAGGTTATACATCCCAGGTAGCAAGCTACGTCATTTTGACATCATTTTGACGTCAAATGACGTCATTTTGACGTCAGCTTGCTACCAGGGATAAAATGCAATTACATTATTTTTTATTCACGATCACTATAGATCTTTTTAATTCTTAAACATTTTTCTTTATGCGCGTTTAAAGAGAAAAAACTATGTTATAATATACAAAAACAGGATTCGGTGATACACTTTATAGGGTGCGTTCCGTTTCTCGCATGATGCGCATAATGCATCGTTTATCCTTGTTGCTCACCAAATGTTAAACAAGGACAATGGATGCATCATGCGCATCATGCGCGATACGGAACGCACCTTTAATTAACTTTTGTGTGTGTGTTGATTTAATAAGAGATTTCTTTTTAAAAATCTTTCTATAGAGGTGTCACTTTTAGAATTTGCTAGTATAGTTGAGAGAAGCGATGCTTTAAATAATTCCTATTTATTAATATTTCATTAATTACTCATGCCTTTTGTTGTTTGATTACAGTAAATTAAGGTTCTTTTTTCGGACCTAAAAGCGAACATATTATATCTGGATCCATTAATGATATATTTGTTTGGAAAAAAGATTTGGAATCTATCATACAACGGATGACAGGAGATAAAAGAAGCATAAGTTTTTCTATTTCATAAATTTAATATAAATAAATTTTTCTTATTTGCAGTATGAACAAAAAAATAGCAACTTTTTAAAATTTAATTTATATAGCTAACTTACAAGTAACACTATACTCAAGTGCCATACGCCGATTTTCCTGAGACTGTGCATACATGTAGTACATTGAAAAATATTTGACACGTATTTTTTTATATCTGAAATAAAATTTTTTATATCTTTGTATATAAAAGATGCGGTCCACTTGACGCCACAAATACTTCGAAGCGTTTGATTGACCGATCGGAAGAAAGAATTTTATTAATTGACTAATCAAAAAATGCTTCGAAGCATTTGTAGCATCAAGTGGACCGTAGCCAAAGAGAGATTGTGTCGCGCGAATAAAGCATATGAGTACACGTATCTACTGAGCACGTCACGCGTCGCGACGCGAAAGAGAGAAAGAGAGGGGTATCAGGAAACGCGGTAGCGGCTCCTGTCAAGTATATTATTGTAGTACATAATATAATACCATGTCATGAAAGAGACGCTACAGCGTATCCTTTACAGGAATAAACTCGCTTATATAATTAAAAATTAGTGTTTTATTTAAGGAGGTCGCCTCATGTAAACCGCTAAAAAAAAGGTCATTTTTAGGAATTTTTTTTTAAGGTATGCAATGGATCGTTTTAAAAATTTTTAGTGTTTTACTACATATATTAAAGAGTACAACAAAAATTTTTTCATTTCAATATAGTTCATTTTGTAACTTTTCTAAATAAATGTTGACCCAACCTCGTCGCCGGAATCGTAAATCGGCTGGAAATCTAACGCCTTTTGTATTTGTTTAAAACAAAAAAAACAAAATGGTTTCTTATTTTGTATGACAGTACCTTGTCGATGAATCTAAAAAATAAATTAAAAGTTGAAAATTAACAAAATGGCGGCACTTTAAGGACATGAGTACGATTTTGACCCCAAAAATTTCAATTTATTTATGCAATAACAATTGTTTTAATCAGTTATTTTACTAAATTTATAGGTTCATCGACAAATTATGACATTAAAACAATTAAACAGTATGTGTGCACAGGGACAATTCGATCGATCGAATAGTTGAGTTATCTTTCCCGCCAGTTTCAAAAAACTAGTTTCGAGAAAAACGCGTTTAAAGTTTTTAGTATCTGTGTAGTAGTTAATATCTATGCATTATAAATGGGCTGTAGCTTCCTAACTTATTCGAATTTCGTTCTGTAACTTTGGGAATATATTTTCTACATTTACTACTATCGATTAGAGCAAAAAAAATTTTTCGATTTTTTGAACCGGTTACATGAGGCGACCCTCTTAAACAAATTAATGTTATTAAAAAATGCATATATTGAGAAAGAATATAGATGTTTACAATTAAAATGAAATAATAATCATGTCACGGGCGATGGGGATAAATTTTACCCCCACAACCGGCTTTTCATCAATTAGCGCTCTGTGTCAAAGCGCTGTTGCCAGTATGAGGATCCGGGCTTATGCTGGATTCACACTGTATCCGATTTTCGTCGTACGACGCTCTTCAACCAATCAGAAAACAGAATTCCGATGATACGAAGCAAAATCCAACGGAATCCTGTTTTCTGATTGGTTGCAGAGCGTCGTACGACGCAAATCGGATGCAGTGTGAATCCAGCATTACGCTTACGCAGGTTACGCCGCATGTGATGGCACCCTAATGTGTAAAAACACTAAACCAACTGTACAATTCACACAGATGACGGTGCTGCGCATGCGCATTGCGAACATTTATCCCTTAAGGCCATTCCACACAAACTTGCATAGTCGCATAAACATGTGCATAAAGAAAATCATCCAATCATAGTTTAAGTTTGTCTTTGTGACAGAAATGTGATTGGATAATTTTCTTTATGCATATGGTTATGCGGCTCTGCAAGTTTGTGTGGAATAGCCCTTATTACCGTTCTCTCTCGCACAGATGTTGGCTCACGTTCAGCGCCCTATGCCTCTTCCATTTATATATGTTCTAAGATTTATATAATCTTATCTCTTTCTCTCTTTCATGACGCGACGCGTGACGCGCTCAGTGGAAACGTACCAATAGCCTGCCACATGCAACTGACATAACATTCCGTTGATTCCGTACCGTTCCGGTGGTTCCGAGAAACTTCTTACGGAACGGAATGCTAGTAAACTTATTTCTAGTAAAGCCTTGTGTCCACGATGCTAGAAATCGGTACGAGACCTCGGATGAAGAAATAATTGACCAATCGCAATGGTCAAATTGTCATGTGATCAAATTGTTCAAATGTGTTTGTTAATTTTTTCTCTGTCCGAGATCTCGGACCGATTTCTAGCATCGTGGACACAAGGCTCAAGAAATCCGTTCCATCGTTCCGATTCCATTTACATGGCACCCTCAGTGGAAACGTACCATTAGGCCTGTTCTTTTTGGCTGAACTTTTGCACCAGTTCATCTTTCTTCCTTTTCTCTCCAGGAGGAAAGAAGAGGAAGAAAGATGAACTGGTGCAAAAATTCAGCCAAAAAGAACAGGCCTATTGAGAACCTTCTCTTTCTCTCCCTTTTTCTCTTATCAACACAAAAATTGTAAAAATTTTACAAAAGTTTTGAAAGATTTCTCGCAATGTGAATAAATTTTGTGGAGCAAATCCTATAGGAACTTTGCGAAAAGCAGCCATTTTCTCATACAGAGAAATTTTCACGCCAACAGCTTGGTCAGCCTGCCTTTTTCGCGGCAACGACTTCAGTCGAGCCACTCGCAACGAAACATTTAGAGAGAGAGAAGGCTACGTCGAGGTGATCCTGAGTTTGTATCAGTGTTCGTAATCTTTGTACGTTGAAACGACCCGGGTGAGTTTCTTATGTTCTGAAATGCACTCTCGAACTCGCAAATGTCATCGGCATTGTACGAGACACGAGCAATGTTGCGATTCTTAACAAGAAAAGAAAAACCGGCGAGCGCGTCACCGCCAATGCCGCCATTTTATATCAAGCCGCGACGTATCTTGCGACATAATCATTTTCACGCAATCACGCCGTGGCTCGTCGCCACATATAATTCCACGTCCACCCCGTTCGCCGTCATCCTAATTTGCATCGCATTACAACACGTTACATGTTTGAGTCGATTTAGCACGCGACCACGTCGTGCATCGTACTGCGCCATACCACCCCACGCTATGCCGCGCCGGTAGAGTCTGCGTCCTTGCGCAATTTCTTGTTCCTTTTATTTACAATACTGAAGCGTGCGATCAGATGAGAGCCTGTCATATTCTTACACAAAAATGAAACGCCTAACAGTTCCTCGCTCAGAAATCTATTTTCTTTATCTTGTTTATATCTTTGATTCTAGGCTACCGATTCCTTTTGTCTCCGATAAATATCTTTCTAAAAGCTACGTTTCTTTCTTCGCTGCAAGTGCTGAAAATCCGTATTTCATGTTACATATGCTATATGCTGTGTTCAGCAGAGAAAGCAGCTTTGCAATTATTGCAAACTTCTTCAGTACGATTGGTTTATACATTTAGATCCATAAGGAAGCAATAGCAAGAACCAATCATATTGAAGAATTTTTTACAACAGTTATAAAGTTTCTTTCTCTGCTGAATGCAGTCATAGATTTTCACTACTTACAGTGAACAAGTGCAGTAGTGAGACAGGTCTTATGTGGATATTTTTTTTTATTTTTATAAGTATTTACAAAGAGACTTATTTGACTTTTACATTTACAGTATATACCATGAGCAAAGTAAAGGATTCTCCAACGGACAATGAGACGGAAGAGGAATTTAGTGTGGAGAAAGTCTTAGACAGAAGAATCGTGAAGGGAAAAGTATGTAGAATCTTATCATATCTCATCATTCAATATAAGGTGTCATTTTAATTTTTATTTGGATTACAGGTGGAATATTACTTAAAATGGAAAGGATATTCCAACGACGAAAACACATGGGAACCAGAGGAAAATTTAGATTGTCCGGATTTGATCGCTCAGTTTGAAGACCAACGGAAGAAGAAGGATGGAAGTACATCTGGAAAACGTCACGAAGAAAAGGAACAAAAGAAACGAAAAAGCAATAACACACCGACACCCACTCAGGCCAAGAAAAAGGCAGCAGTGGAAGAAAAGAAGCTGGAAGGTAAAGGGAAGCATCGAAAATTTTTGGTTCTTATTTATTTTTAGCTTTTTGTATCATTTTCCTCATTAAAAAAAATGATATAAAATACTTGAAGCAAACCAATGTTTCAATCTATTGTGAATATGCCTTTAACTTTATAGGATTTGATAGAAATCTGGAGCCCGAGCGTATTATCGGAGCGACAGATTCCAGCGGTGAACTGATGTTTCTAATGAAATGGAAAGGAACAGACGATGCGGATCTGGTACCTGCACGCATTGCTAACGAAAAGTGCCCACAGATCGTGATAAAGTTTTACGAAGAGCGACTCACATGGCATAGCCCAGCTCACGATGACGAAAACTCGACGAAACCTGACCCGGAGTAGCGTCCAGCGTTCTTTCACAATTTATTTTTATCATTGCAAAGTATTTCCCTGTAATAATTATCCTAGATTATTTACGAGTTTTTTAACTTTTGTAGGTAAAAAATAAATATATCAAAGATTTTTCGAACATTAATATAGAATGGTATAATGTAGGAGGAATTGAAGAAAGTTCAAAGATTATTTTAAAGAAAACTACGTACATTATCATCACTTAATAATATGTCTATCTTTGAGGTGTGGAAACGTGAATTTTCAAACAATTACATAATTTTCACCGACACATCTTAAAATGTATTACTTTTTCGTAGATGATATCTTTCAATACATAACATATTTATTAAAAATGTATTTTGAATAGCAGTTTTTTTTTTAATAGCATAGGTTCCTTCTAATTATTTCGTTCTTTTTGTATTTACCATGTAGTCATGTAAAATATTAACCTGTTGCACCTACATAAATTATCTGCTATTTTAATTACTTAAAATATATGCGATTTACTGTTCAAATAAATAAATTAAAATTGATAATTATGTGTAACACGTAAAATAATTTTAATTATTAGTAAAACAGAAATTTAAAAAATAATATAGGAAAAAAATTAGCTTTTTACCTAAATACTAGGTTTCACCATTCCAGCCATTTAATACAAGACTGCTAATTCGATTATAATTCCTCAGAGTTTGTAAGAAATAATTTGCAATAGTGATAGATGGATTCTTGTAATTAATTTCTTTTTTTACATGAAATTCATTTTTTTATATCATTTAATTTTATCTATTGAACATTAAAAAATTTTTTTCTGTTTCAAATTAAAATATTACATTCTAAATGACTGATTACTTTGACTATAAAAAGAGAATTCATATTAATAAGTCCAATGTAAACATTAAATATGTTTAACAATATTGAAATATTAATAAGCTTGCAAAATTAACAAAACTTGAGACAGGCCAATGATAGTACAACGCAGATCGCAACGCGCAATAACTGTTTGAATTCAGTAATCGTCTATTTGACAAGGGATGTGATTGGTTATTTGAATCTTATGTTCGCTGAGGATGAGTCGAAACGTACGAAATTTTGTATTTGGTTTTATAATTTATCAAATTTATTACGCATTGCGATTTGCGTTGTACTCATTGGCCTATCTCATGTTTTGTTAAATATGTTTATATTGAAAATAAATTGTTATGCACAATAATAACATATAAGCAAAATTATAGTGTAGTATTATAGTGACGCAAACTTTTTTGCCTAAAAATTTCATAAAGGAGACAAATGCTTATATACACACACACACACACACACACACAAATAATTAAATATTATTCGTTTTAGATTTCATTGTTTACAGTGATCTTCAAATAAAACAGAAGTCATCGGAAAGCAAAGTTTATTGTAATAAAATGTAAAGTTGTTTATGAAATATGTTTATTACATATTCATCGTTTGAATTTTTTAGCCCAATTATTATTAGACGATTGAACAGACTTTCGCTTTTTCCCAAATGATCCTTTCAACCGTTGATGTCGTTTCATTTCCCAATCTATCTGCTTTGCGCTAGCACCGTCACTACTGCTAAAAACGTTACTACCACCGTGCTTTCCCTTTGTTTTATTTTGTTCCTCCAACATTTCAGCGAACTTTTCTGCTGATACGAATATATTGCTATCAATTTCTTTCTTTTCTTTACTTTTCGGACCCTTTTTCGCATTTAATTTTTTATTCAAACTCGAAATTAATTCGTCATCTACAGTCTCTTCGTCTTCGGAACCGTTGAACTCGATATCGCTCAGATTTTCATCATCTATATCTGCAAGATCGATATCGTTTAAATCTTGCAAGTCGTCATCTTCATCAAGATCTTCAGATGCATCATCGATGATGTCGTCATCTTCAGATTGACTAGCATTATCTTCGTTATCCTCGTCATCATCAGAATCTTCATCCGCTTTACCTGTTATAAATGTCATTAGTAAGACCTATTGTTTATAAAATCCTATATACACATACAAAACATTGAAGCTTGAGCAAGTTTCCTTTTAACTCAATGAAATACATTTTATACAAATTCATGCAAAAAAAAACATGTAATTACCTTTCTTCTTCCTAGGTTGGATATCCGCCGCGATATCTAAGTCGTCGAAATCTTGACCGAAATTTTGGCCGCCGCCCATACGATCCAACATATCATTGAACTCTTCACTGTTGACACTGTCTGTGTCTTCGTTATCTTCGTCATCATCTTCTCTCTTAACACTCGTTTTGATCTTATCCTTCTGTTTCAAGTATCGATATAAAAATAACTCGTCCACTGGTATTCGCTCCTCTCTCTCATCGAGATATGCTGCACTATCGACCGGAAGGGATCGTATACCCTTAGGCGTATATCCGGCGCGTTGTGCCAAAGGATCATTCTTTTTCTGCACCTTCTTGGCCTCTAACTTTTTCGGATTCTTAAAAACGTATCGATCCAAAAACCGAATCAACGTCAGATCCTCCAAAGGATCACCTGTATACTCGATCGGTTTTCCTGAAATATAAAAATGCATAAATATGTCGAATAATAGTAAACAATGTATAAATCTGTATAGAAAAAATTTGTATAGAATTTATTACCTTGAATAATTTGATTTGCGAATAAAGAGACGCTCGGGTGGAAATGCCTAGACAACGCTTCAAGTTCGGCGTTGAGTCCTTTGGTTGCACCTGCATACAAAGGATTCCGACAAAAAGGATCGTATGATTTTATAGCTTGCATCTCAACTTTTACGTCGGTCTCTTTCTTCACATCCGACTTCGTTTCGCTATCCGCATCAACCGTGATATTCGATAGCATAATAGAGTTTTCATTTTCTATTACACGAACGTCTTCCGTATCTGATAAACTATCGTTTACTTCACATACATCATTCTCGACTTTAATAGCCTCACATGGTTCAAGCAACATATGTTTTAAGTCTTTGCGTCCTTGAAGAACTTTGGAGATAATGTAGAGCATGGCACATACCATATTCGCAGGAAAATAAAATGTAATCTGCAAGATTCTTTTGATAAAAGCATATGAACGTAATATACTTTGATCCCTCTGAAGAACTCGATACAACAAGTTAAGAAACACCCCATGCTTATTCGCTACTCCTATTTGCCGATCGAATAACTTTCTATAAAAGGCCGAATAAAATCGGTTCGCCTGAGACTCATCCTTGCTTGTTATCTGAAAATGCAATTACAAACTGAAGACACAAATATTCTATATATTGCAACAAATGCTATTTCATGGTACTTACCTGATGCAACAAGTTAAGTGCATTGAGAGAGACATTAAACGACCCAAGGTGTACCACTTTGTAAATAGAATCAATGTGTTCATTTACTATCTTTGAATCTATTTTGGCAAAAGGATATGCTCTACTAACACCCATTAGAATTGCTGCCATCATTCTACTATCAGGTTCCCCTTTCTTCAAACACGCTTTGAAAAATGCAAGGTACACTTCTATCAGTGTAGCAGCTACTCCCTCGTCATTTTTATTCAGAACATATTGCGATAGCAGACATATAGCGTAATACTGAGTACGCTGGCTCACATTTCTTCTAAATAACAATTTTTCAACTTCACGCAAAATTACGAGTTTCATGTTCGGATGTTCATACAGTAGTTTATTTATACAAAATACAGCTTTGGATCCAACTTTACTGCTCGGATCGCCGAGTTTATTCACAAGTAACTCCAGCAACTTGTGCTCCTGTTCGGAGTTATCTATCAACAGACCACTCATTGCAGATATGGCTTTCTCACGGTTTGTATCTACCGTATCTGAAGCTACCGCGGAGAGATTTAGAACAAAACGTTCGTACTGTTCGCGTAGTTGATCCTCGAAATACCAGTGCGCCAACAATCTATTTCTAGCGGTATTTGTCTTAATAATGGAATCTGATTCATTCTCTATATTGAGCTTGTCCAAGTCCTGTTCTCCTAATTTTAATAATTTAAATTTAGGATGCAACAAATCCTCCAGGAAAAGTTCTTTCAACGATGTAATAATCATGCCACATTGATTGTGCTTGGCGCCTCGTACTTGAGATATCAGGGATATCAGACGACTGAGATTATATTTGGGATTATCTTGTACCAGCACTATACTGGCTGCTATTTTATCCGAGGTGGTACCTCGTTGCAATGCAGTTTTTAACCACTTCGTCTCTGAATCATGTGATCTGGATTGTTTCAACTGAAAGGCAGTGGTTTCTGTATCCAGATACCTCTTTCCCTCATCCCTTAAATGCAGAACGTCGGCTTCGGACTTGGAGTGCTTGCAGGGTCCTCCTGCCTTCTGATATTCCTCGTACCATTTCTGTCTAACATCAGTGGTAGTTTCACCAGTAGTGAAATTATCATCGAATTCTTTCTTCATCTCTCTTCTAAGAAAAATTCTGAAATAATTTCCAAAAGAATAATAAATAATATATGCGGTAATTATTTAGAATACGGGGCCTCACCTCCGATTTTGATTAAATTGGGCTCATTCGACGCGTTTTCACTCACAATGAAAGAATCTGGAAAAAAATGCGGCGGTCGACCTCGTGAACCAAGACATCAAGCGTTAAAGTTCGAAATTTTAGAAGTTAAGATACCTGTCATTCTAACTAAATGATCGTGTTCATCAAACTCAACTCGACTCAACTGTGCAGAGTGGATCTGTGAGCGTTCGCTATTATGGATTAGTGATTTAGACAGGTCTAGAAGAATACACCAATAACAACGAGCGCATACAGATCCGTTCCGCAAAGGTTCAATCTACTGAACGCGACCTATGTTTCGAAAATGAACATGCGCTGTGATCGCGCCGCGCGCGTATTCTGTAAGCAGGTAAAATATTACTCTGCAGATTGCAATTTGATCATAATTGTAAAATGCCGTATTCAATACAGCAACTAAACAAAAATCCTTGGCTTGCTGTCCAAGATATAGTTGGAGATGTTAAATTGTGGCCGAAATTTATACGGAAATTGTTCTGGGATCATAATTTAACTGACTACAAACGAATGATTCTTGTCAATTTCGCATATTTAAATGAAATATCAAAAGACTTTTTACATGACATCTTAGCTTTTACGTTAAAGAAAGCATATACAAGAAATCGAAAAGGTAATATCATTTTACCTTTAATTAATTAATGGATTGAATAATATATTATGTAGCATTTGTAAGAATTTTCAAAATTTAAAGGAATTTGGACGACAACGGACGAAGTCGTATATAGCTACAGCGTTTATTTCCACGAAATGTTGAATTTAAATTTTAATCCATATAAAAAAATTAAAAAGGTATACATTTTAAATAACCTATTCTCTGCTTTAAAAATTTATGCAATATCATGCATATATTTACTGCTTTAAACACACCAAAGCACTGCTTTATAAACATAAATTCACTGTTTTAAAAACAACAATTCACTGCTTTAAAAATACAAGATTACTGCTTTAAAAACACAAATTCACTGCTTTAAAAACAAAAATTCACTGCTTTAAAAATACGAGATTACCGCTTTAAAAACAAAAATTCACTGCTTTAAAAATTCTTTGCATTAGCAGTGAATTTGTGTTTTTAAAGCAGTGCTTTTGTGTTTTTAAAGCAGTGAATTTGTATTTTTAGAGCAGTAATCTTGTATTTTTAAAGCAGTGAATTTTTGTTTTTAAAGCAGTGCTCTCATTTTTAAATTCAAATTCTGAATTGGAGTACACTAGGGCAAAAACTTATTGCACTATTTCAGAACTAGTTCAGAATTCTCCGAAAAAGAACAGATCTTACATATGCATAGCACTGCAGCGAGTCAGAATGACAGGTATCTTAACCTCTAAAATTTTGAATTTTAACGCTTGATATCTCGGTTCACGAGGCCGACCGCAGCATTTTTTTTCCAGATTCTTTCATTGTAAGTGAAAACGCATCGAGTGAGCCCAATTTAATCAAAATCGGAGGTGAGGCCCCGTATTCTAAATAATTACCATATATGCATTTAAGTAATATGATGCAATGTGTTCTAAAATATTTATTGTAAAATAAGACTCGTAATTTTGTTGTCACTAATATAAAATAATGTAACGTGTCACACACAAAGAGTAATGCTTACATGTTAACCTTAAAATCATTGATACATAAATCTCTTCTAACAAAAATTATTTTATTTAGATCATTCACTTAAATATGGTTAGCGCAAACATATTTTGCATACAAAGTGCAGTCGATTTATGTGCAAGTACTTTTAATAAATCTTAAATATTTTAATTGATATTTTCCTCAAATTCTAATCATGCAATCACACACGTGTGCTTCAAGCTTCAATGTGATCTTATATTGCGCAATTGCGCATAATGGCGGTGGCATGATAGAACAACCAATCATATTTGGGTCCAAATGCAACCGCGAAATTTGAATACGACATTATGAATTTAATGATATAAATAACATAAAATCATAAAATCACGATTTTCAATAAAGTACAACATAAATATACCTGAAATAATAAAAGTTGAGTAAAAAATTACCCCGCAAATCGCCGGTTCGCGTAACGTAACACGGTAGTGTCGCTGTTCTTGGTCTTAGCATCGAGACACTACCGT